TTAAATATCTGAGGTACTTATTGGCTTAGAATCATCAAACTTTGTCAGTTGATGCATCTTGGTTTTTGGGGAATGCAAACCAAAAATTACATCACCTTGACCTACTTTTGACATTTTATGGCTATATTTTCATATCTCGAGTACTGATTGACCTAGAATTGGTAAACTTTGTCAGTTGGGGCATCTTTGGTTTTCCGAGAATGTTGACCAAAAAGTAGGTCATGGTGACCTACTTTCGAATATCTCAGGTACTTATTGGCTTAGAATCATCAAACTTCGCCAGTTGATGTATCTTGGGTTTTCAAAAATTGTCTACTTAAAATTAGGTCACAGTGACCTACCTGTGACATTTTATGGCTATATTTATGTATCTTGGGTACTTATTGGCTAAGAATCAGCAAACTTTGTCAGTTGATGCGTCTTGGGTTTATGGAGAATGTAGACAAAATAGTAGGTCACAGTGACCTATTTTTAGCTCACCTCAACGAAGTTGGGGGAGCTTATGTAATACCCTCGGCGTCCCTGTTGGCGTCGGTGTCGGCGTCCCAGGTTAAGTTTTTTGGAGCAGTTTTCTTTTAAAGTACGTCTATGTCCTATATTGATTAGACATGCATGGAAGATGCTTCTAGTGTGTTTCATTGTACCAGTCGAAGTTTCAGATGCTGCAACTTCAGCAAAGGAATGACCAGGTTAAGGTTTTTGGAGCAGGTTAACATTTTTGGTGCAGTTTTTGGTGTTGGTGTCATTTCCAAGGAACTATAAGCCCTATCTTGACCAAACTTGCATGGATGATACATCTAAGGATGTACACTACCGGGATTGATTCGGATGCTGAATCTGACCTACATTTTCCGGTTGAGTGAACAGGTGAATGTTTTTGATGCAGGTCTCATTTACAAGTAACTATAAGTCCTGTGTTGACCAAACTTGCATGGATGATACATCTAAGGATGCACACTACCAGGCTTGCTTCCGATGCTGAATCTGACCTACATTTTCGAGTTGAGTGAACAGGTTAAAGTTTTTGGTGCAGGTTTCATTTCCAAGTAACTATGAGCACTATAATGACCAAACTTGCATGGATGATACATCTAAGGACGCATACTACCAGGCTTGCTTCCGATGCTGAATCTGACCTACATTTTCGAGTTGAGTGAACAGGTTAAAGTTTTTGGTGCAGGTTTCATTTCAAAGTAACTATGAGCCCTATAATGAGCAAACTTGCATGGACGATACATCTTAGGATGCACACTAATGGACTTGCTTCAGATGCTGAATTAGACATACATTTTTCAGATAATGGACCAGGTCTATTACTAGCTGCAATAATGTAGCCCTCTCCGATTTTTTTTTTTGGGAGAGGGCTACAACTCCTTAGGATCTCCGTAATGGTGCAATGCGGCAGTGAATCACTCCCGCACGGATTTTGGCTCAAATTGTCTGAAAACGGCTATTTTATTTATATGCCTTACCTGAAGTTCCAAAATGTAGTTATCCCTCACATAAATCGATCAATAAATATACAGCACAATCCATATATCAGTATTTTTCGTGTATGTCAACATCACAACTTAAATTTATCCGCCATGTTTACTGACCTTGACAGATTTTATTTTGAGACAGCCAATGAGATTAAGGATCTATAGGGAGCGGATTTCTTTGAAATAACCTTATTTTAAGCCTAAATATCGCTGTTTACGAAAAAATGACACATAGAATTATTTTATTCATCGATGTTTAGTGTTACTATTCATCAAAATTATTTATAAACATCGACATTTGCTTGATTGAATTATTCGAAATTTCAAGCGCAAGTTTCACTACGTCACGTGTGAACTGTCATGGCTGCCGAATAAGCGACAAGAAATCACACAGATTTATTTTACATGGTTTTCGCGTTTAACGAGCTATGATGTCAACAGTGAATAAAAATTTCGTCTTATTATAAGTAAGTTGAATGTAAAAACAATTTATTCGGCCTGCAGTCGCTCGTATTTAAAAAATATTTTTGCACCATTACGGAGATGCGATGGAATTGTAGCCCTCTCCAGAAAATATCAGATAAAAAAAAATCGGAGAGGGCTACATTATTGCAGCTAGTCTATTACCAAAAAACTATAAGGCTTATATAACATTGTATAAACCAAACTTGCACAATTGATGCATCAAAGGATGAAAACTCTCAAATTTGCTTCAGATGCTGGATTTTAATTACATTTTCATGCAAAAGAACTAGTTTGAAGTTTTTATATAGCTCTCTTCCAAAGTATCAGATCAAAATTGCATAAATATTTTCCTTTTGGGATGTACACTTATTTTTGGTGAATTGTGTGACTTTGCCTTACTTACAGACAACATTCGTTGAGGTGAGCTCTGTAATCTCTGATTACCTATGTTTAAATATCTCAAATACTTACTGGCTCAGAATCTTCAATCTTTGTCTATTAATGCATCTTGAGTCCTCAGAAAACTTCAATCTTAAAGTAGTTCACCGTGACCTACTTATGATTTTTTTTTATAGCTTTATTAAAATATATTCAGTCCTAATTGGCTAAGAATCATCAAACTTTGTCAGTTGATGCAACTTGGGTCCTAAATACTTTGGATTAGAGGCTTCAAATAGAAGTGATAGATTGTACAATTTATCAGAAGAGCGATTCAAGGCCCTTGGGCCTCTTGTTTTTTTGTAATTTTAACTTGTCTACAGACTTTTAGCAATTAATAATAATGTACATGTGATGTTTTTTTTAAATGAATTTTTAGTAAGGGTTCTTTGATGAACTTCACAACTGTTTGTAAACTTGTGAACAGAAATTTGGTAATGTGTACATGTATTATATTGTTTTTGTAAAGTTTTAATCAATATGAAATTGATGAACTTCACGTATTAATTTCAAAGCACACGATTTCTTTGATTTGATATAGAATAATTTGTTGATTTAATGTCAAGACAAAAAAAAATAATAAAATACTAATTTTTTTGAATAGTTTTATAATTATCATAATATCGAGATATGTATCATATCATGTTAATGTATCGAGATACTTATTGTATCGCAAGATCTGTGTATCCCTCATGATTTCTTTATGCAGTTTTGTCATTTTTTGCGCTGCATTTCGACAAAACTAAGACATGTTTGGAAAATGTGCAAAGTGCCTAGAAAAATACTCATCTGTAAGAAGTAAATTTGAACATTTCAACCAAACAGTATCGAAGAAAATTCGATTAAATAATTTGTAAATACCTTTGATAAAAGAATCAGACACATATATTTACATTTGCAAATGTTTCCCCTTATATAACACTATTTAAACAAGACGTTTTTACATCTCCGTAAAACAAGTTGGTCATGTGACCACAAATTGATTGTTTAGTAATAATCGATCTACGTAGTTTGATAGTGACGTCATAAGCAGACCTGCCAACCAAAATTGATGCTGTGGGGGGTCATGACCCAACATTCAGAAATGAAATGTTGGGTCATAGCGCGTGACGACATTTTTCGAGGGTTGAGTAACAATATAGTCCCCAAATTTTTAGACATCGATGTAAACACACACATGTATTCATTACATTTTATTTCAGGCTTAAATTATAATCTTTACATGCCAGTTTTGCTGCTTTAAGCACACTTTCTGCACACAAAATTGGAGGCAATTTGACTATCTGAAAACATTCTTGGAACAAGTTTTGTGAAATGGTCAGCTACTGCAAATGATAGGTTATGCTCTGCTACAAAATTACTAAACAGAGTTTCAGCCAGAATAACTTTAGAAGACGTCTTGTTTTCAACAAAGCTAACAATACTCTTTGAAGATTTTGATGCCTCTTCTGCTTTCACATGAATTGACCTAGTTGCATGGCGTTTCACATCGTACAATGCACCAGAAGCAATTGAAAAATTAATCTGACAGAGCTTGCAATAAGCCCAATCTTCTCCTAGATTGCACTTTTGAATCCATTGGAATTCTTTTTCCCATGTACTTTGGTATTTACAACTGTATTTTTTACGTTTAGTAGGAGTCAGTGTACATGGCCCAGACATCGATCGTTTCCTTACCGAAGACATTTTCAAACTGATTGTGAACTCTTTATCAAAATAATTACCTGTTTTCTGATGATCACAGCTCATACATCATTAAAAAAACATAGCCGCTGGCATTATTCATGGTCTTGTTTACACTTCCGTTTCCATTATCAAAGGCGCCGTCTGGTGTCGAAAATTTAAAATAAATTAGAGTTATCTCTCTTCTGATTATTTACCGAAAATTGGGTTAAAAGATGGGGACAATCGATTTTGCGGGTGAAAATGATGACCCGCCGCGGGTCATTACGAGTGGGGGGTGAGAGGTCAGTTTTGCGGGTGTGACCCACTGAATGCGGGTCACTTGGCAGGTCTGGTCATAAGCGATCGACGTTATAAACATTCCGTTGAGTTTTGAAAAAATAACGTTATGGATTTCTAACTTTAGTTAAAAACGTTACTATTTGAAATAAATAGTCACAAATGTAAATATAAGTAATAAGGTATGATTTTTTGAGTTTTATTGGGATGTAAAACGGGTTAGCACATGATCAAATCTTTCATAAAGCCCTTCGGGCTTTATGAGATTTGATCACGTGACCAACCCGTTTTACATCCCAATAAAACTCAAAAAATCATACCTTATTTCTTAATTAACATCATACAATTTATAAACTAATTCCCTTTTAGAACATTGACTTTTATATCTTAAGATAATGATTTTAGAGAATATGCACCTTTAACATGATATATTTAATAATATAAGGGTTATGTCTTGTACTGAAACTCAATAATTTTAAGTTTTATTGCAAGAAAAATGTGACTTCAATTTGTGCGAAAAACCATGTAAGTTTAAAAAGTGCGTTGAGCTGTTAATCAGCACAACAATAAATCATGGAGAGGACAACTGAAACAAAAGATTTACCTCACAATAATGTTTGAATGCTTTTACATGTTTAAAATTTATCTTTGAAGCATTGTTGAAGGATGAAGCTAAAGCAGCACAAGTACAGGTGGTCACCAAACCTATTGTCTCAGTTTTTACTGCAGCTGGGAGGCAGATCAGTCAAATGAGGGTTTGTTACATACATATTTATGTACAAGTATTAGCTTTCTTAAAAAGCTAGTGAAGTCTGACATGAGCAAAATTTATTATTATATATAGAACTTTGAAAAGCTGAATTCAGTGTGATCAATATAATTCTGAGTCCAGAAATCAATTATTCTGTTAATAATCAAAAAAAGTTCAATCTAGTTGTATGTATATGAAATAAAAGTTGGATATAAATTTATTCTACATAGACTTAAAATGTAATATGTTGACGGTGCGACCGTTAGGGTGAGCGCAGATATATGCCCCTGCGAGACGATCATGAATAATTCATGAATTTCCTTGAATTTTTCATGAATTTTATTCATGAAATATTCATGAAATGTTCATGAAGATCCTATGAACTTATTATTGGACATTTTCAAATCATGAATTTTTATTCATGAAAGAAAATTGATGAATATTCATGAATATTTTTTTTCATGAATAATTCATGAAGAGTCATATTCATGAAGATTCATCATATCAAGAATGTCCAATAATAAGTTCATTGCATCTTCATGAACTATTCATGAATAATTTGATGAATTTTTTCAGGAATGTTCATGAATGAATAAAATTCATGAACCATTAGCATTCATGAATATTCTTGTTTATTTGTAAACAAAAAATGCAATATTATTATTCATGTTTATTCATGAAAATGCATGAAGTCATGCTAAAAAAGTAACAGTAGATGATTTATAATACAGCATCTTGAAAGATTTCACAGAAATGTTGTTTGTTTTCCAACCATGGCAACAAAATCTTTGTTAAAAAACTTAAAATAGACAATTCTGACACATTAAACCATAGTAAATGAGTAATGTAGTTCTTTCCTGGTAAAAGTATAAAAAATTTCAATTCAAATGCAACTCTTTGCAGAATGTTTAACCTTACTTGGTCAAAAGGAGAGGGGGATCCTTCCTCAGCATGTTTCAAATTGTGTTTTAATGCCAGAAATTGAACAGTTTTTAATTCCAGTATAGGAGAAAAGTTTGTTCAGCACCAGGCACTACTAAGTCAAAAACTTACTGACATTCCCATTTTTTACTGACGAACTTAGAAAATTTCTGACAATGTGCTGTCCTTACTGTAAAACTTAGACAATTACTGACCTTTTTACTGTCGGTACTGATAAACTTAGAAAAGTGCTGACAATCTTAGTCGGTGCTGAAAAACTTAGACAATTACTGACCCGTTTACTGTCCCTGCTGAAAAACTTAGACAAGTGCTGACATTTACTGATAATTACTGTCCCTATTGTTCTCGCTCTCGGGGAGGCTGCAGTGGTGTGAAATTGATTTTTTTTTTATTTTAACATAGATTATTATTTCATTTATTTGTTTGTTCATATGATTTTTAACTATGTCCAGATGATATCTTTGAAAAAAAAAGCTTCTTTGATCTATTTATAGAAAATTAATTTGTAAAAAATATTTTCAAGAGAAGGGATAAAATTTCAAAACCTTCAAAAAGATAAGCAATTAAAAAAAAATTAAAATCTTCCTTTAGTAGTGAGATATGAAATTTTTCAGAGGTCTTTTCCTTTTTATAATAAAACAATGTTATTACAGGACATGCATTTTATAATATTTTCTTAATTAACATTGACTCCCGGACTTTCTTTAATATTAATTTAAAGAATTAAACTGTTAGGTTAGATGTATTTTATTCAATTTTAATTTAATTTATTCAAATTAGTTTGAATAATTTTAATAAACTGATAGCGTGCAGTGAGGCCGTGGGTGCCCCCTTTTGAGGAAAGGTGTTTGTTATAGTTATATTATGTAAAATTTTTAATTATGTGGAGGCCGCCCATATTTGTTTTTGTGCAGTCGAACATACCCGAATCCAAGCATTTGCAAGAAGAAACCAAAATTAAAAGACAGACGGGGGATTTAAATTAAAAAAAGAAGACTTTTTTATTTTATTCATTGGGCAGGGGGAGGGGGGCTACGGGCCTGCATTGATCATTGACCCTGTGACATTCATTGATTTAGTTACTGTCCGCATTATTCTTTAGAAAAAATGTACATCTTTTAGCTGATTTTCGAGTCTGGATTTTCTGGATCCCCACCCGAAAGTGTTATTTTAATTCAAATACATGAAAAACTATGATATTTTATATCATCATCTTTTGTCTATGCATACTCCTGAAACAAAACTTTGATAGAAATTAATATCAATGTTCTTTTCAATTAGAGTGTCGGTAGACGTTCACATGGATCTAGTTTCTTTTTGTCTTTTCAAATTAAAATGGGGGGGGGGGGGGGGGGGGGGCACGTGCGAACTAAATGAAGAACGATGAACGTGTACTTATTTATTTTATTAAAGTAGAACACACAATTAATACTGTCGTGTTTAAGTTTGTACTCCTTTTTATCTGTTTAGGTACAAAAAATTAATAAATTTAATTAACTTAAGAAATCGACGTTTCATAGCTTTGTTCGGTACTGAAACCAGTATCATGATTTTACAGTAACACTGTGCTTTTTATTCGTCCCAAATTATTCAAGTCGTGTAGCTGGTATCCAGTCGAATTACATAATCATTCAACATACAATCGGAAACTCTGTGAAGCACCTGTATATAGAAGAAATCGCCTGGGGCGATCCGAGTGTGTACGGTAGGGGGTAAAGAAGACAATAGGTGTCACTGCTGTATTATACAGAAGAACACTCGCCGGATTTCATTGGAAGTTAGTTAAGCAACATTACGTCGACAGGTAGACTCTTCTTCAAGACAGTTTGAATTTGAGAAATTCAACACCAACAGATACGTAATATAAATATGCAATCTACATTCCTTCAACCTCTTCTAAGATTAAATAAATATTTTTTTTTTATATACCGACGTAAGATAAAATTAACGATTAATGAAAAAGAAGATTGATATAAAAACCAACTGGGGAAAGGCACAAATTGTTTAAAGATTTAAGCAAAAATAAATATATGAGAAGGGGTACATTACATCCAAATTTTTGTAAAAATTACTGGTTCCTAATATTTTTTGTTAAGTCGTGTTAGTGTGTGTGTGTGGGATAGTGGAGTGAGGAATTTGTTTGATTATCAATCAAATAAAAATAGTTCATAGTATATTTCCTTAACTTTTTATCAGTAATTAAGAATAATTAAAAATCAAACACAATTCATTTGCAGCAGTATTATGACAGTGAAAAAAAAATCAGTCGGAGTTTAATTATACATGTATTTTAAACTTTGCCTGGGTCGATATTGATTTTTTTGGAGAGAGAGAGAGAGGAGGGAGAGAGAGATGAATGGTAACTCGTCACGGAAGATAGTGGGAACCTACAGTTAGCGAATAATCTTAATCTTATGAAAAGGAAAGATGTTAGTAATGAAACCTGAATGAAATAAATAATGATTACGGGTATAAATCGTTCAAATGGACAAAGAAATTTGCATCATTTAAAAAACTTACACATTTTTATAAATCATATTCAAGTACCGGTATACTAGATTTTTTTTTTCATGTAACGGGGGGGGGGGGGGGGGGGCTTATACATGTATGCTAGAGGGTTCGAAATAAATATTTGTGAGCACTGATTCGACGGACTAATGACTTCCAATTTTCACTACTTTTAAACATCATAACACGCCCTACGCCTACCTACTTTAATGAGATGAAATTTGATTTCGGAACATAAAATTAAATTAATTCCAATTCACCGATAGCTACAGGGGAAAAATAAATGAAAGGTACGAAACATGTAATATTTTTGTTAAAATTGAATCATGATTAAAAAATACTTACAGATTAAGTTTAAAAACTAAATAGTGATCTAACCCCCTCGGCAATGTGAATAAATGGAGCACTTGTCAAGTATTTAAGTAACTTAAAGTGTCAATACTGTTTGTATCTTTAAGAGAGAGAGAGAGAGAGAGAGAGAGAGAGAGAGAGAGAGAGAGAGAGAAGAAAAATATTTGAGAATGGTGCTACTGCTAATATTAGTCTTACCGCTGACCTAGTAAATATAAATATTTTCCGTAAGATTACTATAATTGGTAGTACATAAATTTTTATTACTAGTCTGATAATTATCTATTAGTCTCGGACTTACAGACATTGGGTACTTATGAACCCTGTGTAATCGATCAACCAACCATTCATTTAGAAATAATGTTTTAAGTGACAAAATTAACAAGGCATAGTACAAGTTTATATATGAAACACTGTACTGTTCAATAGGGGAACTCCCGTAAGAGCAAATGAAACCGGAAATCTTAAACAGGGGTATATAATTATATGACTTGTACAGATGTCCGAGAACATTAGGAAACTGAATTACCTATCAGTAATTATTCAATATTTAGAAGATTTCCTTTCCTTTGTCCTGTTTTTGAAAAGAAAATTGATACAACTTTCCGATCGTGAAAACAGGGGGGGGGGGAGCTCAACATTAAAGTCAGATATCTGTCTGCAAAGAAATAAATAGATGAAAACTAACTTGATGATAAATTGATTTTAATTCTTTAATTGAACAGGGATATATATATTCAACACATGAATTTAAACTTGATTTACTCATAGTTAATTTCAAACCATATTCTAAATTATTTTACAGATATCAATAATATTTAGATTAAAAAAATGATAACTGCCTGGGATTTTTTTTCATCAAAAATTAAAATAAGACTGTTTTTAAATGCAAAGTATCACACACAATTATTTTCACACCACTGCAGCCTCCCCGAGAGCGAGAACAATAGGGACAGTAATTATCAGTAAATGTCAGCACTTGTCTAAGTTTTTCAGCAGGGACAGTAAACGGGTCAGTAATTGTCTAAGTTTATCAGCACCGACTAAGATTGTCAGCACTTTTCTAAGTTTATCAGTACCGGCAGTAAAAAGGTCAGTAATTGTCTAAGTTTTACAGTAACGACAGCACATTGTCAGTAATTTTCTAAGTTTGTCAGTAAAAAATGGGAATGTCAGTACGTTTCTGACTTAGTAGTGAGGGTAACAGTTTTCAGTGCTTTCAAGCAGTTTGAGCAGAGATGGTCAATTCAAAAATCCTTATTGTCTCTCCATGTGGAATTTCCAGAATTTCATCATTTGGATCCTTTGATTGAATATCATTCATATTTTCATTTCTTTATTTCTTTCTTTCTCAAGAGCTCAGATTTTTGTGCAGCCAGAGTTATATGCTTCTCTTTTTCCTTCAAAAAGAAAGATTTTCTGAAAGTACCCATGATTGTAAAACATAAGACTTTTTGTATTTTCTTGCATTTTAGTTTCATTTAATTTTGCATCAGAGACACTTCCAAATTAAAACATTCTGAGTGGAATTTAAGCCTATTTTCTTGGACCGCCATTTTGTAGATCAATCAGGCCTATGAATGTTTTGAGTCTCAGTATATAATTAATGTATGTTATATGGTTGGATCCAAACTCAAAGCAAAGTTAGACAAAAATTGAATTATAAAAAGAGACATATTAATTTATCATAATGTGCTTTAATTTAATAGTTGTTATTTTACAAATAGACAGTACCATTTACAGACAGATTTCTGACTTGGTGATTGCCTCCATTTTTTGTCACTCACCAGTTATGAAGTAGATCGATCCTATATATAGTCTTCCTTCTTCATATTCTGTTATTTTCTTAAAAAGTTGACAAAGATCAGTGACTGTACTGTTTATTGGACACACCTCGTGAGAGGGTGAAAAACTACAAATTACAAAAGCATAATAAGAATTTGACAAAATATCAAAATCATAAGCAATCATACAAAATTAAATGCATAACTTTAACATGTGAGCTGAACAGGCCTATGCCTATCGCATGCTGGAAATGCACGGTTTTACAAAACATTGTAGTTGCAGAATTTAAACATGATAAAATATATTGCATAATACTGTTAGATACAGATGATCAAGTTAGATATAAATTCAAGTAAAACAATATAAAACTTACTCCTCAGGGATGCCAACATCACCTAACTTAACAGCCAAAACACCAGGCAAACAGCATGGCTACCATTATAAACAGAATATTGAACCCGATCGAAATAAAATTATGCAATACGAAAACGGCACAGTGACTATGCAAATAATAGATCACAAATACTGATTCTTCCACTCTACAAATTCCCACTTCCAACGTCTCGCGCGTTTTCAAGTTTGCGCCTATTCAAAAATGTACGGTAGAGCTAAGAAATACGTTAGTTTCGAATTTCCAAGATTTCTGTTTAAAAAAAATTACAAACACTATATGAATAATTTTTCACTGAAAATACAATTTTTTATATCAAAATAAGTTTTATCAATGAAGAATTCGAATTTTTTACGTCATAAATTATACATGTATTGACTTTTAGTTTCGTATAGCAAGTATGGCGGCCCCCTATGACATGATAATAACAATCTCTCGCCCTCAGACAGAATATTCTGCGCTGTGAAGACGCATAGGAGAATTAAAACTTCAAAATACGAATGTGGATTATGTCATAGATACTTTACAACCATGCAGTCTGTGCTCTATCATTTACGCACGAAGCAAGGAAAACTTTTGACATTTTAACTGCACTAAAATTGAAATGTATATATAGCGTTTCGATCCAGGAATAATACGGTACAGTACAGACAAGTGATGTAAATTTTTAGTTGTTAATAAATATATAAAACGTTTTTTACGAAGCTCACAAAGTTCATTTTCCAGAATGTTTCATTTTCCAACAACTTGTTTAAAGTTTGATGTTAGAGAAAATTCGGTCGAACAAAGATGTGTGATGAAAAACGACATTAATTAAAGCACATTATGATGAATATGAAGAAACACAAGTAATGAATTGAAAAAAAAAATGCTGTCAATGGTGATGCACAAAGATGTGTGATGAAAAACGACATTAATTAAATTCATGAATAAAGTTCATGAACCATCTTTATGAACCAGTCATGAACCAGTCATGAACACATCATGAATGTTCATGAACGATTCATAAAAGTTCCTGAAATTATGAATTTCACCTCGCAGGGGCACTTATCCAGTTTTCATTTAGATCAGGATCATCAAACTGCACGTGACATTTGGCACGTCTAAGACTTTGACATCAAATGCATGTTGCTTTACCAAACCGAAGCCTGAACAGGGCTGATTTTAATGAAGAACCGTTTTATTGACTTTTTTCTGCAACAAATTCATTAAATCAAGGCAAGTTTATTTTATTCGTTTAAACTACCGTAATTTCGGGATTATAGTTCGATGGGGTATATAGGTCGAAAGGCTCATTTTCAACCTTAATTTTTGAAAAATCCTAAGATAGGTTGAACTTGCTATATAGGACGAGGCTTTGTTTCCCGTTTTCTAAAGATTTTTATGCAGATACAACGTATCAGAACAGGTAAACCCCTAAAATTATCGGGGGTTATTTCGTGACATGAACGTATCAAGAAAATAAACAAGTACTTTAATGAGTACAGCATTTAAATAAAGTTTTTAGCTCACCTGAGCCGAAGGCTCAAGTGAGCTTTTCTGATCACATTTTGTCCATCGTCCGTCCGTCTGTCTGTCCGTCCGTCTGTCGTCTGTCTGTCCGTCTGTAAACTTTTCCCATTTTCGACTTCTTCTGAAGAACCACTGGGCCAATTTTGACCAAACTTGGTACAAAGCATCCTTATATGAAGGGGAATTTAAATTGTGAAAATGAAGGGCCAAGTCCCCTCACAAGGGGAGATAATCAAGAAAAGACAAAAATAGGGTGGGGTCATTAAAAAATCTTCTCAAGAACCACTGGGCTAGAAAAGCTGAAACTTATGTGGAAGCATCCTGGGGTAGTGTAGATTCTAAATTGTAAAAATCATGACCCCCGGGGGAAGGGCGGGGCCACAATGGGGAATCAAACTTTTACATAGAAATATATAGGAAAAATCTTTAAAAATCTTCTTCTCAAGAACCACTGGGCCAGAAAAGCTGAAACTTATGTGGAAGCATCCTTAGGTAGTGCAGATTATAAATTGTTAAAATCATGACCCCCCGGGGATAGGGCGGGGCCACAATGGGGAATCAAACTTTTACATAGAAATATATAGAAAAAATCTTTAAAAATCTTCTTCTCAAGAACCACTGGGCCAGAAAAACTGAAACTTATGTGGAAGCATTAATTCTTAGGTAGTGCAAATTCTAAATTGTAAAAATCATAACCCCCGGGGATAGGGCGGGGCCACAATAGGGAATCAAAGTTTTACATAGAAATATATAGGAAAAATCTTTAAAAAAAATCTTCTTCTCAAGAACCATTGGGCCAGAAAAGCTGAAACTTATGTGGAAGCATCCCAGAGTAGTGTAGATTCCAAATTGTTAAAGTCATGACCCCCAGGGGTTGGGCAGGGTCATAATGGGGGATCAAAGTTTTACATAGCAATATAGGAAAAATCTTTGAAAATCTTCTTCTAAAGAACCACTGAGCCAGAAAAGCTGAAACTTATGTGGAAGCATCCCGGGGTAGCGTAGATTTTAATTTGTTCAAATCATGATCCCCGGGGGTTGGGCGGGGCCACAATGGGGAATCAAAGTTTTACATAGAAATATATAGGAAAAATCTTCTTCGCAAGAACCACTGGGCCAGAAAAGCAGAAACTTATGTGGAAGCATCCTGGGATAGTGTAGATTCTAAATTGTTCTAATCATGTCATCCCCGGGGGTAGGACGGGGCCACAATGAGGAATCAAAGTTTTACTATGTTGAATCAAAGCATCCTATGGTAGTGTAGATTTCAAATTGTTTAAATTATGGTCAGTTGGGTAGGGTGGGGTCACAATGTGTATAACAAGGGGAAATCTGGTAAAGAACGGAATGTTCAAAGCTTCTCAGGTGAGCGATGTGGCCCATGGGCCTCTTGTTTAAAAAAAAAGGTTGTTAAAACTTCTTTGAATTGTGTTACTACTTATTTTTCTCCAACTTGCCTGTTCAATGCCTCCGTAGTTTCACACTGTTGTTAAATCAGAGGCATAAATAACACGTAAATACAATATTATTTTACAGCTATAATTCGGGAAATACCTGGGACCAACAAATAGTAATTCCGATTTCAGAACAACTTTAACACATTCCTAATAAATCTTATTTAGACATTATTTACCGGTGGACGATGTCCGCCATTTTTATTTTTCTTCTCCGGGGATTTGCTAAAACATGCAAATGACCATTGAATGTATAAATCAAGCAACACTAAAGAATTGAAATCATATTAACACTCTAATAAGTTTAATTTATAAATTTAATTGAGTACATTCCCAATTTGACTGTCAACATGAATTTCACGGCTTTGTTTCTTCAATGATGTGTAACATTAATACCCTATAACGGCACTTGGGTTTGTTAATCATGCCCCGCAGGCATTTAAACCAACACAGGTGTAAATCCCTTTACATGTATCTGTCAGACAATTAAAATTCTGTTAGAAGCCAATCTTTGTATACCGTGTAAAAACACTACAGTAGTGATCGTGATAATTTTCTGTATTTTAAATTTTGATACGGTTGCGGTTTTACTTTTAGTACACGATCGTGACTTCCTAACTTCACAAGATGGGTACCGCATGATGTTAATGGATAATACGTTGAGGAATTATTTAATAGATGAAGCAATGTTGTTTTCCTTTGTCATCAACGGATAATTAATGGAATTCATTTTGTGAGAAAACTATAGAATAAATATTTTATTGTTTACCGGGGCATTAATTTTTTTGCAAAAAATAATCAAAAAAGTTACGAAAGTGGCACAAATTTGCTTTGAAATTGACATAAATTTTACTGATTTCAGGGCATTTTTCGTAAACGTGAGCCTTATATAGGTTGAATTCTGAATATTGGGCGACCCCAGCGGTTCTGAGAAAAAAAGTATCGACCTATATTCAGTAAATTACGGTATCAGTGCTCCAAGTTGCCACTGAAGTGGTCGCATTTGCAACCAAAAAATTTACTTTGCAACTAGAAATTAAAACTAAGTTGCATTTTAGCGACTGAGAAAATTTGGGCTGGCAATGTCCATCTTTTTATGATTGGAATCGAGATTTACTTTTTCAAGATTCTCTATCAAGACAATGTTTGAAGATATATACTTAAACACACTTTACAAAGTATAGCATGGACTTAGATCACGTAATGTTATGACAGTATGCTGTAATAGTGAAGTTTGATAGAACCAGAGACGTATATACATAACATCCCTGATAGAATGGCATCCAAATGTTTTAAACTTTCTAGAGTCTCTCTGACCTTGTTATTGAAGTATCTGGTCAATAGCTTGCATATCACAATTAATATACCGTATATACTCGCTTATAAGTCGGTATTTTGGGAGTTAAATTTTAGTCCATAACTGTATGTCCGACTTATAGGTGAGTCATAAAGATACTGGTATTTTTTTGTAAAGTAAAATGTAGCATTCCATATATATTCCAGACAGTTGCTGAAGATAACAAGGCCTATATATGTATAATCGTTTATGCATTCAAAGATTATACATATCATGTAGTACAAGTATTCACTTACTATAATGGTTTTATTTTGTGCATAAATCATTTGTTTAATTCTTTAAAACTAAATATCGGCGTTATTTCGAAAAATATCAATAAAAACAGCTAAAAACATCAGTCCATTAATCTAAAATGTCAAATGATTCTAGCAAAAAGTTATACCGACTTATAAGCGGGTCAATGGCAAATTTCCTCAAATTAACCTAAAAAAATACAACCTACTTATAGGCGGACCGACTTATAGGCGAGTATATACGGTAGTGTTTTGGCGGCATTGATAACAAATGCGTTATGGTTAAGAAATATAATGAGCCCTCCTCCAAGCATCCTTTAGGATGTACAGGATGAGGGCCATTCTATGTAATGAGCCTGAGGCTCAAAAAGGGTATCATATAGCATTTTCTTTCGAGCCAGCGAAGCGAACCTCATTTTTAAAGAAGTTAAAAATATCCGTATGACGTATGTATTACCTGAATACCTGTAGTATATAAGGCACAACTCCACGTGCCAAACCATTTTTTAAAAGAAATGTTTGTGACAACTCTACATTTAAATTGGGTGGGAAATTTGTATCCATGTAGTATTATGGGATGGGCATATGATACCCTTTTTGAGCCTCAGGCTCATTACATAGAATGGCCCTCATCCTGTACACCCTAAAGGATGCTTGGAGGAGGGCTCATTCTATTACATATCGCCTTTCGGCTCTGCAAAGGGTATCATATAGCATGTTTAAAGTGTTGATCACAAACATCAAGACTTCTTAGTGCGATCAGAAAAGTAAACATATTTCAGTGAAAACATACATCATGGTTGAATTTTTAAAATCGTTCCATTATATTATTAAGCTCAAGAACTTGAAATTAAATTCATTGAAATTAACTATTCAAGTCATACTATTATATCAATTTGACCAACTTCAATTTAGAGTCAATAATACCAAATTTAACGTTATAAAATTTTTTTAATCAACTCTGGTTGACTACCAGTATTGGTACTGTGATACGTATAAAACTATCATTTGAAATTCTCAACCTTATTCTTGTCAAATGCAAAAGCATTTGGAAATAAAAAGAGAATCACTTTTCCCAAATTTATTAAAGACAAAGAAAATCAACTCACATATAGATTATACAATGCAATGAACAAATCATCATTTAGAAAATATAAACATTAAATTGACAAATTATAATGTCCTTCTTCTCACACCAAAGTTCATTATTCCGCACACAGTCAAATTTATCTATTTAATATCGCTGTCGCAAATTGTCCATCACTTGACTGATTCACATTAGGTTCTTTGAAATAAAACTTGAAAAAAGTCTTTGAAGATGTCCAGTTTGCAGTTTCTAACAGATCCTTCATGGAAACTCCTGAGAGATAGGCGGCAGAAGCAGAAGCTCCACGAAAAGAATGCGCTGTAAAGTTTTCAATGCCGGAGAGTTCCAAAACTGTCCTGAGCCATCTAGCTAAAGTACAAGTTGTCACAGGAAGAAAGGTTTTATATGAAACAAATAAATTTGAAGATTTCCTGTAGTCTTTTGTCCTCCTCAAGTACTCTTTCAATGTAGAATAAACACAAATGCTTTTGTCAGAATATTTACACAATGTCACTTTATGGGCAGGACTACCTGGTTTACAAGTTTTTAGCAATTTGTTAATAATAAAAACAATTTTATCACTAAACATTTCCATATTCTGTAAATCTAAAGCCAATAATGTTTGTGCTCTTGAAGCTGTAGTGAGTGCAATAAGGGCTATTAATTTAAGAGTCAACATATGTAAATTAACCTTACTCAGAGGCATTAGAGTACGTAAAAATCCTAACACTTTTGAAACATCCCAAGTACGTTTTACTATTGGTCTCGAGGGATTAATGTTGAAATAACCTCTCATTAATTTTGGTATCAATAACGAGGTTTTTATCCATTGAATACCGAAAAAAGGCAAGGTATTTACTAGCATAGATTTCTGAGTATTTATAACAGAATAGGAAAGTTTTAACTTCATTAAAGATGTCAAATATGTTATAACATTCGACACTTCAGACGGTTTATAGGGATTAATATACCATTTATAACACCAAAAAATCCATCTTTTCCAACAACACTGATATTGTTTATTTGTTGCTCCCCGTAAAGATGCTGTGATGATTTTTGCATCCAAGTTTGAAAGTCCTGAATTCTGGAGTGCTCTCCTGATACAATACAAGCGATCAATTTCATTTTCCGAAGGGGATGTACCTCGCCTGTGTGAGTCATTGTCAACAAGTCCTTGTGCCGAGGTAGCCTGATTGGAATAGAAACAAGAGCAGACATTACTAATGGAAACCATATCTGTGTTCTCCACAATGGAATTATTATAACGGCTTCTTTGACACAGTCATCAAAAATTTTATTTATAATTCTACCAATCAATTTGAAAGGTGGAAAAATATAAGGACGAAAATTTGACCATGACATTGTGAAAGCATCAACGTGATATGCTTCTGGATCAAAATTCCATGATACAAATTTATTCAACTGTTTATTTAACCTTGAAGCAAATAAATCTATATCTGGTTTAAAAAACTGATCACAAATTCTTTCAAATATTGCTGATTTTAACATCCATTCAGTTGAATCTGAAAATTTTCTAGATAATGAATCGGCATAAACATTTTCAATGCCTGGAATATATTGTGCAGAAATTATTAAATTTCTTTCAAAACACCAGTTCCACACCTCAACTGTTAATTTGTCGAGTTGCTTAGATTGCATACCACCCATTGCATTAATATATGAAACAACTGTTGTATTATCAGTTTTGAAACAAATATGTTTTGAAGAAAACTTCCTGAAAAAGGATTTTAATGCAAAAAATATTGCAAGAAGTTCCAAAACATTAATATGGAATTTCGCTTCTTCACATGTCCATCTACCTCCTGTCATTTTATTTTGAAACCTTGCACCCCATCCTTTTAATGATGCATCTGTTTCAACCCAAAAATCAACAGAATTGGTTTTAATCGGTTTACCATTCAAACTCCTAAGATTTGTATGCCACCAATCTATTTCATGAAGACTATATATCAGAACAAACCATATAAGAATCATAATTGTCATTGTTCAATTTTAAATTCATATCCTTATCCCTTTCTAAATTTCTGTAATGCAACGGACCTTGCATAATAGCATTACAAGCATGTACTAACAAACCAATCAAGGATGAAAATTTGCGAATCTTACAAAGTTTTGTTGATTTTATTTCTTCACAGCAATTTAAGATTTTTTGTATCTTTTCCTCTGTTAAATAAATTTTATATTCAACGGTATCAATCATAATTCCAAAGAAAACAATTCTTTGTGTTGGAATGGTAACCGATTTCTTGATATTCACAGTAAACCCAAGATTATGTAACTCTGAAGTCACCAAATTTGTTTGGTTTAAACAATGGGAATAATTTTGATGCATGATCAGGGAATCATCAATGTAATAACAACATCTAATTCCATTCTCTCTGAATACAGCATATATGGGTTTAAGAACCTAATGGTAAATATTCGTGGACATGATGATAGTCCAAATGGTAGTACTACAAATCTGTAAAATTTTCCTTTCCATTCAAATGTCAAAAACTTTCTGTAATCTGAATGTACACTTATACTAAAATATGCATCTTTTAGATCAACAGAAGTCAAAAAATCATCTTTTTTGATCAATTCTAAAGCATAAGACAAATTTTCTTGTTTAAAATGATGATACTCAATGTATTCATTTAAATTCCTCAGATTGATGATTGGTCGTAAACTTCCATCCTTTTTTGGTACTAGGAAAATATTAGAGAAAAAAGCATCTCCTATATCAAAAATTTCCTCAATAGCACCCTTTTCTATAAGATTTTCTACTTCGTTAGAAACCAGATCTTCTTCTTCCTTATTAAATTTAATTTGTTTTGGCATAGAAGTTTGTAAAGGAATTTCCATAAATTCAATTTTATATCCATCGTAAATTATATCTAAAATCCATTGATCATCTGTAAAATTTGTCCAGTATTCATAATTAAGTTTCCTTACCTTTACTTGTAGTACTTCTTTGTCGTATTCATGTACTGTTTCTGACTTCGACCTCTCTGGGTACTGTTCATGGTCATGAATCTTGACCTGCCTCTGCCGCGGTATGCATTGTTGTACCTTTGTATTTGACTGGCATAATTTTGATTGCTGTAGTTTTTTGTAAATGGCAAGTTATTTTTGGGTTTTGAATCCCAGAATGGGGATTTAATACCAATAGGGTGTTTATTTATGTCCCCCATTTCTTTCAGTTTTGACATACAATTGTCCCCAAAAAGTTGATCAGTTAGTGGAATTTCAGCGGAAACAATTTTCTTGTATCTAGGGGTCAGACATGATTTGATTTCATTTCTGCGTTTCATAGATAAATTGTAAAAACTGTTTCCTAGCATGCTAATGGCATCACCAAGCATCTTTTTGTTTTTAACTGATTCCGTATCTTGTTTACTAATCAGAGATTCTGCCATCTGAACAAGGGGAATTAACCCTGTTGCAATAGATTTCTGGATTATTTGTAAGTTTAAATCAACTGCATGGGCATTTTTCCCCATAACATCCCAGATTTCTTTATTTACACATGGGACTTTGAGATTACAATTCTCTGGACGTGCATATTGTTTTTGCAACTCAGTCATAGCTTCTTTGTCAGACCTAACAGATATTGCTGCATTTACAGCTTTAGCCAATCCATCGTTAACTTTAGGACCTGTTTTTTCTGTTGAATTTAATTGGGGGATATCCCACAAATCATTGTCCTCTTTCAGATCATTATCTATGGTAATTTGCAAAGCTTTACTATCAAAAACATCTTTGAAGGCATCATTTGGATTAATACCTGGGATTGAAGGTGAGGGCTCTGGGTTGTCTAAATAACTCAGATCAAAATCAAACTCATTTTGCCCGTCATATACATTATAATCTACACTGTTTTGATCATAATCTGGAACAGACACAAACTGTTTTACAGGTTTGTTACCTTTATTGTATACATCTGCCTGTGTTACAGTGCAAGATGGAATTTGTTTATTGTTGCTGACATTGTGTTCCATAGATTCTGAAACATTATTATGACCAGAACGGCGCTCCGTATTTTCGGCCATTTGACTTGACAAAAATGAAATAGACTCGAGTATTTTATCAATCCCCAACTGAGTTTTCAAATCATTGAAATTGATGTCATGAACTATTTGAGGGTTCGTATCTGTGCTTGCCTGCATGTTTCCTAGATTTCTTTGTTTTTGCATGTGTTTTATCTACCACACCTGGGGTCTGCGTTTTACGCTTCACTCCCCTCGTAGTTTTCTTGTCATCTGTGGCATTACTGGCGGAACTTCTAGTAGCAACTTTATTGCCAAATAATTCCTCAATATCTGAGAATTTCTCAGTATCGCTGTCTCTAAGAGACAACATGTCCTCATTATCGGACGCCATTTCCGAAAATACGGCAAAATTTAAGAACAAAGTAACAACCCAAAACTTACCTGACTCGCAAAAACAGTAGTGTAAAATAAATGTAGCTGTTTTACAGCATAAACCCCCCAAACAAACTTGAACAACGTTCTAAGTTTAACAATGTTTTAATAATCGAACACAAACCTGTGTTACAGGTGACTACTTGTCGCTCGCTCAAAGAAAAAGAATGGTTTGGCACGTGGAGTTGTGCCTTATATACTACAGGTTTTCAGGTAATACATACGTCATACGGATATTTTTAACTTCTTTAAAAATGAGGTTCGCTTCGCTGGCTCGAAGGAAAATGCTATATGATACCCTTTGCAGAGCCGAAAGGCAATATGTAATAGAATAGTAAGTAAACATGACAAACAACTGGAAAAAGTCCTGTCTTTTGTCAACAACCGTCAAATTTTATTTTCTTTTGATTAAATTTTAATTCTAGGATCAGATTACTAATGTGTTCTTCTGTGTACTGTACAACCATAGGGTTGGTTGTATTTAATGAAAACATTTCCTTTAACTACATGTAGCAAAAGATTTCTAATCACAGTAATTAGTAATCTTTGATTAAATAAAAACATAATACATGTATGGGTGTTAGTTCCTTGTTTTAATTGTGTTTTCACATGTTTTCATCATGGCGAGTGAAATATTTGTTTAAGGCGACCAAAAATTTTTTTAGGTCACCATTTAGCGACCTAAAAGTAAGTGCGACTTGGAGCACTGCCTATGTTCTTATTCTCGCGAGAACTTTGCTTAAGCTTTTTTGTACGAAACGATGCATTGTGGGCCAAATTACTGCGGCAAAAAATTCTATCAAATGAATGTGCAGTAGTCCGAATTTTCTCTTTGCCCAGGCATTGTCAGAGCTCGCAGTGACAAAGCTTTTCTGATCACATTTCGTCCGGCGTCTGTCTGTCTGTCCAGCTGTCTGTAAACTTTTCACATTTTCAACTTCTTCTCAAGAACCGCTGGACCAATTTCAACCAAACTTACCACAAAGTATCTTTGGGTAAAGGGGATTCAAGTTTGTTCAAATGAAGGGCCATGCCTCATTCCAAGGGGAGATAATTGAAAATTACTGAAAAATTAATGGCATCTTTCAAAAATCTTGTTCTCAAGAACCACTGGGCCAGGAAAGATGAAACTTATGGGGAAACATCCTCAGGTAGTTAAGATTCAAGTTTGTTCAAATCATGACCCCTAGGGGTTGGGCGGGGCCACAATGGCAGACCACATTTTTAAATAGAAATATATAGGAAAATTCTTTAAAAATCTTCCTCTCAAGAATAGCAAAGCCATGATTGGTCATATTTATATGGGAGCATTCTCAGGTAGTGTAGATTCAAATTTGTTCAAATCATGACCCCCGGGGGTTGGGTGTGGCCACAATGGCCGACCAAATTTTTACATACATGTAGAAATATGTAGGAAATTTCTTTAAAAATATTCTTATCAAGTATAACAAAGCCATGATTGGTCATATTTTTATGGAAGCATCCTCAGGTAGTGTAGATTCAAGTTTATTCAAATCATGACCCCCGGGGGTTGGGCGGGGCCACAATGGCCGACCAAATTTATACATAGAAATATATAGGAAAATTCTTTAAGAATCTTCTTCTCAAGAATAACAAAGCCATTATTGATCATATTTATATGAAAGCATCCTCAGGTAGTGTAGATTAAAATTATTCAAATCATGACCCCTGGGGGTTGGGCAGGGCCACAATGGCCGTAAAAAAGATTTACATAGAAATATATAGGAAAATTCTTTAAAAATCTTTTCAAGAATAGCAAAGCCATGATTAATCATATCTAAATGGAAGCATTCTCAGGTAGTGTAGATTCAAGTTTGTGCAAACCATACCCTCTCCCCTTTAAGGAATGGTTGGGACTACTTTTGAGTTTAAACTTTTCAATAATAAACTAATTTCTGCTTTTATGCTAGCCACAGTGCTCAGGTGAGCGATGTGACCCATGGGCCTCTTGTTTTCTTTTTTAAGGCCGTAGGAAACATATATAGGAAAAATCTTTTTCTCAAATACCACTGGGCCAGAAAAGATTAAATTTTATATGGAAGTATCCTGGGATAGTGTAGATTCTAAATTGTTCATTTCATTGCCCGTTGGGTATTATTGGAGTTACAATAGGGAGTCAAATATTTACAATGAAATATATATAGTATCCTGGGGTAGTGTAGACTCTAAATTGTTCAAAGTATGGTCCCTGAGGGTAGGGTTAATCCACAAGTGGGAAGATCTGGTGAAGAATGACAGGGCCAAAGTTATTAAGGTTATCATTGTGGCCCATGGGCTTCTTTTGTCATTAAGATAGATACTAGAGAAGAACCCCTCCTTATCACCCTTAGCAAACAGACAGGAGGATTAAAGGGCGAACTGTAAATTGAACTTGAAAGTGTTTGTTTTGACAGTGGAACAGTGGTAAAATTTGTAAGATGGGCTGGTCCCACACTGAGGAGCTACTGTTTGTACAGGATGATGGAGTGGTGTTGATGTATGACATGTTCCTCACTTTCAAAAAGACATTTGGTATGGGCCAGGTGAGTGTACATGTAATATATTGAAAATGTGCATGAAATAAAGTTTCTTCAGGAAGTAAATAACAAATCTTCAATCTCGCTGATAAATTAAAATGGTAGCCAATGGCTTGTATGTGTGGTGGGCTGCAGGCCCCCATGTATGTGAGGCCGTTGGCCTAGTGACAGTGTGAGGCCGATGGCCATGAGTGAGTTAGGCCGATGACCTTGCATGCATGTAAATGGCCGATGGCCTTGAGACAATGAAATGAATGCGGCCAATGGCCTGTGTGCGTGTGCAAAAGTGGATCTAACATGGATTTAAAATAAAAAAATTTCTTTTGGGGTTAAAAAACACACTTGACCAAAATGTGAAATGCCCAAATGAAGTTATTATAATGTCAATATAATAGCTGAGAGCCCCAAATGGAATTATCAATACCACCACTCTTGATCTGATACCAAAACTTTAAAAATATCATGACATAGATACAAAGCAAAATCATCTTCTTGAATTCCAACTTAACCCGTATTATGAACATGAGATAAAATAAAATGTAAAGTTACATTCGCTTATAAAACTACATATGTACATAAATGTTCATTGTTTAACAATCCGCTCCAAGTTTTGTGAAAACAACCAAATACACAACATGATGTGAACATAAAATGTTAAATTGCATGCTCATTTACATACACAACTGCCTTAAACATTCAGCTAGTCTTTTTACACAGTTTTTTGACAACACATTGCCTTTTGCGCACGTGACAAAGTTTGATCATTGGAACGAATGTACCTGGTGTAACAGTCTGAGCTCCATCTACCCAAGGTTTTGATCAAATGATCTTCTACTTGGCTACCGGCAGCAGAGGTAGCGGCTCCTATTCTGAAAGAGTGGCCATTGAAATTCTCATCATCCAAACCTAGCGATTTGAGTATCTGCTGTAGTTTCGTAATCAAAAAGTGTCTTGATAATGGATTTCCACTTTCATCCATAAATAAGGCTGAAGACATGACACAGTTGTACCACTTCCTTCGAAGGTTTAAATATTTTAACATGGATTTCACTGGACACACGGTTTGGTCTGACTGGAATAAACGGATCTGAATTCCTTTACGAAAAGGGTCAGTTTTAGATCGTTTAAGCGTGATAGTATAAGCTTTGTAGTTTTGATCCATGACGACATCTTCCACACACAATAGGTTGTCTTGATTTATATCGTTCATAGTAAATTCCCCGCATCGAAGGAATGCGAAAAATGCTAGAGAACAAGCAGCTTGCAGCATGGTGTCTAGGAAATAACTGAACATACCCCGCTGCAAGACATTTTGAATTTGTATCAAAACACTGTATGTAATGGGCCTCCTCTTCTGTTTAGAACTTTGTTGTTTTTGAATTCCCCTCAGCACTGTTTGCAACCTTGCACATGATTCATCTGATGATAGAGGATTAGAAATACCAGCCTTCACATAATGGAATCTCACAGCTGCAAGATACAATTTGATGGTATTGTACGTTAGTTTTAGGGAATTGCAGCAGTGTGTAACAAAGTAAATAAGGGTTTGTTCTGAGATCTTAGGTGGATTATAATTAGTCGCTTCTATTCCAATCGATGAAAGGAACTGGCAATATACTGTAAATCCTGTTCTGTATGCCCTCCTTGTATTGTCGCTGATTGAAGATTCACATAAGTCCCTAGACTCTTTCTCTAATACAGGATTAATTCTTTCAAGGATGGTACTGGTACTGGCATTGCTGCTGCTGCTGGAGCTACTTCCCTGAATTTTCATCTGGAAACGAGAAAGAGAGTCAGCAATAATGTTTATCTTTCCTGGAACATGATCACATAATACAAGGAAATTATTATTAGCTGATATCCAAGTTAGTTTTCTTAGTAGCTTCATAATCATAGGGGATTTTGATCTGCGTTTTTTAATTATCTGAACAGTGGCCAGATTATCACACCAGAATTTAATTCTCTTCCCTGACCATTTATGCCCCCATATCACAGCGGCAACAACTATGGGATACAATTCTAATAATGCCATAGATAATGTGTCATCGCCGAGGTCTTGAATTTCTGGAGGCCATTTTCCTTGGAACCATTCTCCGTAATAGTAACCCCCGTAACCAATGGTAGAAGAAGCATCTGTATACAAGGATATGTCTGAGGCACAAGTCACATTTTCCTCCAGAAAGAACGTATGTCCATTCCACTGCTTTAGAAATGTTTCCCACATAGCCAAGTCCATTCTGCATTCTTTAGTTAAATTCACGTGATGATGTAATTTAGTAACTGAATGGGCCAGAGTTAACAGATAGGAAATAAATGATCTGCCTGCTGGAATAATTCGTGCTGCGAAATTGAAATGCCCTAATATGCTGAGTAGTTCTCTTTTTGTGCAGGAACGTTTGGACTTTAAATTGCCAATGAGAAAATATGCGCTCTATTTTTTCTGGTGGGATTCGTGCTTCTAGTTTAACAGAGTCCAATATAATTCCCAAGTATTCCATTTCTGTACATTGTCCTTTTGTTTTCTTCGACGAAATGGGAATCCCTAACTTGCCAAACACCATTGTTAGTATTGCCAAACTTCTGAATCCTTCTTCCTCTGTAGGATCCAATGTCAAGAAATCATCTAACAAATGTAACACCTGCTTGATTTTGTAGTTATTGGTTAAAATCCAGCAGACGGCCTGTGAAAGCATATCAAATATTTTGGGGCTACTTCTGCACCCAAACACTAAGCGTTTATTAAAGTAATATTTGTTTCTCCATTTTATGCCATAAAAGGGTTGCACTGTTTTTGACAAAGGTAATAGCTTGAATGCGTCCACAATGTCAGTCTTGCACATCAATGAATTAACACCTAATGATTTCAAAATACTTATGGCATCATCAATACGCACATACTGTAACAAGTAATCTTCCTTATCGATGAGGCTATTGATGCTAACTTCGGATGCCGAGTCATGAGGCGATGAGAGGTCTACTATCAATCTGTATTTCTTTGAGTATTTTCCTTCGGCGAGTATTTTCCTTCGGCAACACCGATAGGGCTAATACGATAGACTTCAAACGGTGGTTCATCATATGGTCCATCTACATAACCTTTGTCAATTTCATACTTGAGTAAAGTGTCTACTACTTCAGGTTTCTTCCTAGCTGTACTTAAATTTTTGCATTCAAATGAAGTCAATGGCAGCTTAGAAATTCCTGTGTCAAATCCATTCTCCAATCCATTAATGAAAGTATCTACAAAGTTTTTGTCTGGATGATGGTGCAATTCTGACTTAAATGCTGTGACGTTGATCATAGTTAAAATTTCTTGTTTTTCGGAATCGACTGTATGGTAAAATCAGGTAGTCATTGCCTCTCATTTTGGTTGCCCTCCTTTTGTTTAGTGGTTGTTTTACACTGCGTGGAAGTATGTTTTCCCATCTTACAAGTTGAACATATATGAACCAAGTTACATGAGGGTCTGTTGCATCCTGTCTCACTATTAAAGTTGTTACATATTTCTCTGCCCCTATGTGTGATTCTAGGTCTTCCCTGCACATACAATTGGTTTTGTTGTCCTCTGTTCCTGTTCTGTCCTGTAAGTGAACTACCGTAATTTTTGGGTTATAGGTCGATGGGGTATATAGGTCGAAAGGATCATTTTCAGCCTTAATTTTGGAAAAATCCTAAGATAGGACGAACTTACTATATAGGACGAGGCTTTGTTTCCCGTTTTCTAAAGATTCTTACGCAGATACAATGTATCAGAACAGGTAAACCCCTAGAATTACCGGGGTTATTCCGTGACATAAACGTATCAAGAAATTAAACAGGTATTTTAATGAGTACAGAATTTGAATAAAGTTTTTTTTAAAGAAGTAGTTAAAACTTCTTTGAATTGTGTTACTACTTATTTTTTCCAACTTGCCTGTTCAATGCCTCAGTAGTTTTCACACCGTTGTTAAATCAAAGGCATAAATAACATGTAAATACATTATTATTTTACAGCTATAATATTCGGGAAATACCCGAGACCAAAGAATAGTAATTCCAATTTCAGAACAACTGGGATACATTCCTATTAACTTTATTCAGACATTATTTACCGGTGGACGACAATTACTTCGATGTCCGCCATTTTTATTTTTCTTCTCCAGGGATTCGCTAAAACACGCAAATGGCCATTGAATGTATATATCAAGCAACAGTTAAGAATTGAAATCATATTAACACTCTAATAAGTTTAATTTATAAATTTAATTGAGAGTACATTCACAATTTGACTGCCAACATGAATTTCATGGCTTTGTTTGTTCAATGATGTGTAACACTAATACCCTATAACGGCACGTGAGTTTGTTATAATCATGCCCCCCGCAGGCATTTAAACCAACAGGTGTTACACCTTTGCGTACACAGTGTAAATCCCTTTATCTTTCAGACAATTAAAATTCTGTTAGAAGCCAATCTTTGTATACCGGTAATTCAATGTAAATTATATTTCTGTCACCCGTATTTATTACTAATTCTTTGCTTAAGACAATATAAAATATTTAATATACTATTTCAATTTATCGCTACTAATAAATGGTAAAAACACTACAGTTGTGATCTTGAAAATTTTTCCGTATTTTAAATTTTGATACGGCTGCGGTTTTACTTTTAGTAAACGGTAGCGACTTCCTAACTTCACAAGATGGATACCGCATGATGTTAATGGATAATACGTTGAGGAATTATATAATAGATGAAGCAATGTTGTTTTCTTTTGTCATCAACGGATAATTGATGGAATTTATTTTGTAAGAAAGCTATAGAATAAATATTTTATTGTTTACCTGGGCATTAATTTTTCTGCGTAAAATAATGAAAAAAGTTATGAAAGTGGCACAGATTTGCTTTGAAATTGACGTAAATTTTATTGATTTTGGGGCATTTTTCGTAAACTTGAGCCTTAGAAAGGTCGAATTCGTATATTGGGCGACCCCAGCGGTTCTGAGAAAAAAGTATTGACCTATTATCCGAAAATTACGGTATTTGAAACTGCACTAAATTTTGCTCTTGGGCAGAAATGTGAAATGTGTGTAGTACTGTTGCAATTCTCACATCTAATTACCTTCTGGCCAGCAAAAATAGTGGTAAACAGTTTCGTGTCCCTAATAGACCAGTCAACACGGATATTCCTTTGATGAAGAAGGGCACTGGCTCTCGCTGAAAAGGCCTTGTGATAATCGTAAAATGCAGAACCGCGTGTCATGGACGCCATCTCCACGATATCACGTTCATATGCATCCAATTCTATCCTTCTTTCTGGATAAATTTCACAAATGATGTTTTTGTATTTTGAAAATGCCAATATAAACTCACTTATGGTTAAGTTTCTTTGTAATCTGGCATCAGTATTTTGTTTCAGTAAGATATAACGGCCTTCCGTTTCTTGAATTTTGTGTTCCTCATTTTCACGAGGTAGAAGTAAAGCGGCAAGATTGACATCCTTACCTTGGATAATGTTGTTCCTGAGGTTTGTGGATACAGTCTCGACATACGGGACCGAATCCAATGGAACACGAGAGCCTGATGGTAAATTAACATGGTCCGGTTCCGATGTCGGTGTACTCTGGTTGGGATTTTGCTGTTGTAAATTGCTGACGACATTTGTAAGTGACAGAAGAGATTGTTGTATCATATCAATTGCTTGGATCAGCGAGTCTATTTTGGTTTCATTTGTTGACTTCCGCCCAGCCTCGTTATGAATTGCTGTCTCCGAAGATGCCGGAAGTTCATGAACTTCATCGCCATTTTGATTCTCACTGATGTCTGGAATAATTGTTCACATGGGTTTTTGATTTCGATGAACGGTGTTACCATGGTTACTAAAAATAGAATTTTCTGTGAAATTCCTTTGATTTCAATATACTTTGGCACACAAGTAGACTACACTAAATCGGTTTTTGTTTTCGATGAATGGTGTTATGGTTACTAAAAATCTCCTTACATAGAATAGTGCATCGGTTTTTAATTTCATCGCCATTTTGATTCTCACTGATGTCAATTGTTCTTTCGTCTGACAGAGAACTGCTAAGATCTTTACGACTGTTTTGTACATTGTCTTTATAAATTTGAAGTAATTGAGATTTCTTAGACTACACTAAGATACATAATTCTATTAATTGGTTTTTGGTTTCGATGAACGGTGTTGCCATGGTTACTAAAAATAGAATTTTTTTCTGAAATTCCTTTAAAATGCTACTCATCGTACAATTTTGGTCTGATTTCAATATAACTTAGTATATCGGTTTTTTTGAACGGTGTTGCCATGGTTACTATAAATAGAATTTTCTGTGAAATTCCTTAAAAACGCTACTCCTTCTGCAGTTCTAGTTTGATTTCAAAATAAGTTAGCACACAAGTAGACTACACAAAGATACATAGAATAGTGCATCGGTTTTTAATTTCGATGAACGATGTTGCCATGGTTCTAAAAATAGAATTTTTTCAGATTTCAATATAACTTTTGTATACATAGAATAGTCGGTTTTTGATTTGATGAAAGGTGTTGCCATGGAGAATTTTCTGTGAAATTCAATTTTACAGTTTTGGTCTGATTTCACTATAACTTGGCACACAAGTAGACTACCCTAAGATACATAGAATAGTGCATCTGTTTCTGATTTCGATGAACGGTGTTACCATGGTTACTAAAAATAGAATTTTCTGTGAAATTCCTTAAAAACGCTACTCCTACAGTTCTAGTGCTTTGATTTTCACTCGGTTTCTGATTTCGATGAACGATGTTGCCATGGTTACTAAAAATAGAATTGAAATTCCTTAAAAACGCTACTTCTTCTACCTATTTCAATATAACTTGACTACACTAAGATACATAAAATAATATCACGGTGTTGCCATGGTCTGAAATTCTTTTCCTTCTACCGTCATTTTTATTTTCATGGTTACTAAAAATATAGTCACATTAATAAGAGCCTCATAAAATAGTGCAAGGCTAAAGTTCATAGTCACATTAATTCGGCCATTCGGCCATAACATGTAAACATTGAAACGAAACAAACACACGTGTTTCCTGGGTCGGTAGTCACATACTGTATATGCATTCACCACTTGTTAATAGTCCACATATTATGAATACGCTACAAAAAATCCAAGTTGGCTAGGAGACGAATATATTCCGAAGGAATCTAGAGAAAATCTTTGAGATGTAACACAACAGTTGCAGGAACTAGACAAGATGCTAAGAATCTGATTGGCTTATAAGATCACGTGATAACAAGCATGTTGAAATATGATACAATCTACATGATTTTATATAAACAATATTTAATAAATTAAATAACATTTTAAGAACAGGTTCACCTAAGAATCATGTAATAGGTGACAAGTCCATGTTTTCAGAATTATTTCAAATTTTGCATACAAGTTAGGAGTAAAGCTAATTCTTTAATGCAATTTTAACACATTTTGATTGGCGAATGCACTGATGTTTGCAGCAGTAAAATGAGCATCAAGTTTAATGTGGTCAAGCTGGCTATTTCCAAAAATCACACAAATTCAACTAAGTTTAAATTTATTTAGGCCAGCATTTTTTTATTTTTAGGTTTACAAACCCGCCGCTCAAGTTTTTGAATTTTCAGAAAAAAAATAAGATTGAGAAAAACAGAATTTTTTCTTTCCGATGTACAAGATTTCAAATTTAAAACTTCCGGTTTTAAATGCATGATGGCGGGTAATGAATGTAGTCCATAGCAGCACTAAAGGTTGGTTTAATGTAAATATTTATCGATAGGAGTGCCATTCAAAACGTTTCACCCGTTCTGAGAACAAATAAAATGCTGACGACTTTGTTGCACGATGACATTTTGGCGAGATAAATACGTATCCATATTCAAAAGTATCTGTCATCTGTCTGTAAATTATTTTCCTCCCACAGGTTTAAAACTGCCCATGGTAGCTATTATCAGAGACATTGTTTAGGTCTCTGTTATAGCTTACAGTCTTGTATCATTCTTCAGAAAAGGGTAGTTTATGCAGCAGATGTAATGAATAAAACTATCAGAGAAGTTAAGTTCATTTGAGGAAGAAATAAACAATAGCCTAGAGAAATAAAATATTTCAACTAATTAAAAAATAAACAAGTATAATCAAATATATACAGGCATGTAGTATCGTTTGTGTCAGCCAGAAAAGTTATTTTACAATTGATTGAAAAAAAATTCTATCCTACTCCCCAGTACTGCCTGTCTGTTTTATGAAAGGAATTATTATTTTAGGTCTCAAGTTAAGTATATTTTAGAACAATTTCAACACTTTCACCTAACACATATTAAAAACAAAAATGAAGATATATATTGAAAGAGTTTTAGAAAATAATTTTAAAAAAAATCTTTCTTTTTTTTGTCCAGCATTACAAGACTTATATCACTGGCCCCAACTGGTAGATGATGAAATAAACAAAGGTTTTATTTTCCCCTTTGTAACTCTTATGTGTTCAGTTGCAAGGAGCCTGTTAGGAAAGCATAAAAAAGAAGCAAAAATTAATGTAGAAAAGTCGATAATGTATCCCAAAAATAATTTTATTTTTATTTTTAT